GGAGGGGAGGTAGGGATGAGGAGGGGAGGTAGGGATGGGGAGGCGAGGTAGGGATGGGGAGGGGAAGCAGGGGTGGGAAGGCAGGCAGGGATGGGGAGGGGAGGGAGGGATGGGGAGGCAGGGATGGGGTGAGGGGACATGATAGGGTAAGATTATAAGCATACAGTATCATACCTATTTTAAATGAGAGATTTTAAAGATAAATTATTTTAAATGTCTATTTATTTGGGAGGGAGTACACCACATGCATGAAGCTCTGCCTCTGCCTTTCAGAGTACTGGACTGCGGATGTGTGCCACTGAATCTTGCTTGCTTCTTATGTGAGCTACAGTGACTGTTCTCTGATCACCAGGGCTGCAGGACCAGCATTTTTGACCGCTGAGCAGTTAGGCCGGCTGTAAAGGAGAGATTTTTAATGAACGAAGGCACGGTATATATACAGTGAGTGTACAGGGAGGCTGATGGGCAAGCAGGTACGTAAGTCAATATATGGATGAGTAGATAGATGATAAGTAGGTATTCAGGTGGCTAGAAGGAGAGATCTGAACTTGACATTTTCAAAATGTTAACTAGGGATTAGAGGAGCCTCTCCCCACGTGATTTTAGAATGGCTGCCAACACACTTCTGCTCTTACCACGTGTACGTGCTTAGTGACACTGAAGACAAGACTTCAGTTACCACTGTTATGTACATATGCTTAGTGAAGTTTTCAGTACTGGGGATTATAAAATCTACATATCTACTGACTATGATAAACACTGAATATGTTGTGTTCTGAATGATCAAATATTCAATGTAGAAATAATTCTTTACGCAAAACAAATAATTGATCATCTCATTAGTATGTAAATTTGTCTTTAATAAGCAGTGACATGTGCTAACAAAAATTGTTGACATAAATGTCATTATGATTTACTATTCACTAATGATTTGTGTAAGTGCTTTAGGACTTATAAACCCAGGACAATATAAAAGGTCTCAAGCAATAATGGGTCAAAAGTGGAAAAAGTTTTCTTGTTTTTGCATTTTGTGTGTGTGTGTCTGTCTGTATATGTGTTTGCATGTGTGAGTGTATCTGTGCATGTATGTGTGTGCATGTGGGTGTCTGTGTAGTGTCTGTGTGTAAGAGTGAGTGTGTCTGTTTGTGAGCATCTGTGCATGCCTGGTGTGTGTGTCTTTGTGTGTGTCTGTGTTGTGTGTGTCAAGTGTGTGTCTTTGTGTGTATCTGATGTGTGTGTCTATGTGTATGAGTGTGTGTCTGCTGTGTGTCTGTGTGAGTGTGTATATCTGGTGTGTGTGCACGTGTGTGTATGTGTGTGTATCTGTCTTGTGCATGTATGTGTCTAGTGCTTGTGTGTATGTGTGTCTAGAGTTTGTGTGTGTGTCTAATATGCATGTGTATCTAGTATAAGTGTTTGTGTGTGTGTGTGTGTGTGTGTGTGTGTAGATCATGAGACTAAAAAGAGTCCAACAGAAGAGAGGAAAGAGATCTTAAGGAAGGGCTGAATGGGGTGTGTAATAGAATTCAGGAGTCAGGAAGCACAGAAGAGAGGACTGTATGGGGAGAGGACAGGACAGTCAGAGTGAGGGGGGAGGGGAGGGAGTGGGGTGGCCGAGAGGCAAGTGTAATGGCATATTGTGTGGCGGCCACAAGAAACCCGTTGCTGTGTGCTAACTTAAAGTCCTCTCCTCAACCCACACCAGACAGGGTTTCCCTGTGTAGATCAGGCTGGCCTTGAACTCCCAGATCTGCCTTCCTCTGCCTCCCAAGTACAGGGTTAAAGGCATGCACAACAGCCTCCTGGCTTAAAATATTTAAAATAGTATTTTAGTGTTGAACAAAACACAAGGATGGACAAGAGAAATAACATACTTAGAAAAGTTGATCTATTTGTTTTTACAGTTTCAAAACCATCAGATTTGTTAAGTACCGTGTTCTAAGCACACAATATAGTTAAGAGGAAATTGTTCCCATGAAACCCGTCACTGTGCACAATGAATTTCCAACAAAACACAAACCATTAAATATAGGAAAAAGGAGCCTAACCGCAAGAAAGTCAGAGAGTGGCGCAAACTCTGGCTTTGAGATAGGGAAGTTTAGCTGCTGCTGCTGGTGCACACCTTTAAACCCTGCGATTGGGTCAAAGAGGCAGGCAGATGGATCTCTGTGTGTTTGAGGTCAGTCTGGTCTACAGACTTAATTCCCGACAGCCAGGGCTACACAGAGAAACCCTGTCTCGTGGGGAAGGAGGAAGATAAGCAAGTTTATAAAATGATGTACAGGCCCTGTCATCCCAGAGCCGCTCCTCCAGAGCCCCTCACAGACTGACTCTGCAAGCAAGCTCTCCTCCGTGTCAGGAAGAGGTGCAGTCAGTGCTAATGCTAACCGCACAGGCAGGAATGGGACCTAAGTCAGTGTACAACAGCACATGCCAAGGATCCTAGCACTGGGCAAAGAAAACTATGAAGACCCCTGGGGCTCACTGCTGGCCAGCCTAGCCCAATCAGAGATTCTGCCTCAAAAAGTAAGACGAGAATGACTGCTTAAGACATCCTCACAGGCTTGGACAGACAGACAGACAGACAGACACACACACACACACACACAAGTCTAAGTCTCCCTCTGCTTTCCACACTAGGCCACTTGGGTCTTTAAATGCCTTGTGGCCACTGTCCCTTATATGTTCCAGCACAACAAAGCAACCTGGCTTCAAGTGCACTTGGGATGGTGATTGATGTATAGGCTCAGTGACAGAGATTGATGTATATGCAATGTACAGATCCTGCCTGTGAGGTCCCGCCATTGAAAACCAAAGCCACCAGCATTGCTGAACCTTTTGCAAAGACTGCTGGGATGGGCCACACCCACAGTCTCAGCTACTTAGGAGGCTAAGGCAAGAAGGCCAGTCTAGGAGACTGTCTAGTGAGACCTTCGTCTCAAAGCCAACATAACAACAACGGAATAATTCCCAAATATGTCCCATTGTCCCTATGTTCCAGGACAGGAGGGTGGGGTACAGGGGGGATCTGCCAGTGAACAAGTCTATCAGGTGGTATATTTTGCCCTTCACCAGGCAAAGCCAGGGAAGTGTGACAGGAAAACCTGAGAGGTGCCACGCAGGGCTGGTGTGCAAAACACAGAAGTCAGGCAGTCTGTCCTAACAGACCCAAATCAACGTGGATATCTAATGCCTGAGCTGAGCTGGTGCCTAGCTAGGGTCTCAAGCAGAGTCTTACACCAGAAGCCCCTGGAGGGTTGGCCCAAGCCCACAATTTCAGACTCAGGAAGTGAGGACAGCCTGAGGATTTACATTCTAACATAACCCAGGGTCACTAATCCATATCACTCGGCCATACATGTAGGATGTTCTATAGGATTGGTGGACTTTAGAGCTACTGCTCCTTCTGTGTACAAGAGTGACCCTCTGTGCCATTTTCCTGTGAGAGGGTCACCTGCTCCAGGACAGGCATGTAGAGAACACCCCCAGGATGTGACCTGCATTTGATCATCAGCTCAGCTGACCCCAGGGGCGGTTTGCTGCAAAATGCCAGCTATCTCCTTTGTCAAACTGACCCCTCAACTGGCAAAGGGCTAATAGCAAGGTCGCTGGGCGCACACTGTTGGAAAGCAAAAGCAACACCGAGGACATGACGGTGTCATCAGTGAACAACGAGAAGTGCCATGTTCCCACAGTGGAGTGGACAGTCCCCACAGTGGACAGACACAGCAGACAGACAGACAGATGGTTGCTCTCAGGCTTTCTGAACTAGCACCACTGCCATCTTGCCTGCATCTCTGTGGTGAGCAGAGACAAGGCTTTCCCCATGGGACAAAGCCTACTGGGAGTTGCCTCTGGTCCACACAGTCAGGCTTAAGCATACCACATTACAGGTACCATAGAAACCCTAATTCAGAAGCTCTGTGGTGTGGTGGTTACACCTCATTCAGCATCGACTTCAGGACGGACCAACTCAAATCTCATCTCTAATCAAAACTGCATGGAGCATCATAGGGTTAGACAATTATGTGAACCCGAATATCTGCATGTACGACACACACACACACACACACATATGCACACACACACACACATGAACAAACGCTGTGAAAACATTACCACTGTGTCCTCTGGGTGCTTGAGTGGCTCCAAGCCAGGTTGGTGCTGGCCCTGTTTTTTTCTCTCCTTCTCCGGGCCATCCTCCACAGCTTCCTGTGCCCTCCCTCGATGGTCCTGCTTGTTGACAAGATGCCGGCCATTACCTTAGATTCATTTTGGATTTAATTTCAGAGGCACTTCTTCTTCTTTTCATGTTTAAAAGAGTCTTGTCTCATTTCAGCTTTATTTTTTTCTCACCTTGCTGTGAACCATCCCCTCCTCCTGGCGGGCCTCCTGAGTCACCATGTGGATCCCAGATGTGTGTGCCTTGCTCCTTCAGACCAAACAGGAGCTTGGCCTCCCATGGGCCAGGCCAGATTAAAGGAGGGGAGGGGCACTTTCTCACAGTTTGGTGTGAGCTGCATCAGCTTCTGTATGGAAACTAATTTCAAATTCACCTGACTTTCCTCAGCAGGGAGGCAAAGAGTAACACAGCAGAAAGCAATTTGAGGAAGGCCTCTCAGGCTTAAAAGACACTCTGGATTACTCATAAATTTTGACATTGGAGGCAGGAAAGATAGCTCAGTGGCTGAGAGCTTGCTGTTGTTACAAGGGACCAGAGTCCAGTTCCCAGCACTCTGGGGGATCTGACACCCTCTCCTGGCCTCCTCCTCAGGCACCCTCATGCTTATGCACATAGAAACACACACACAGGCAATAAAATGCATCCTTAAAAATAAACAAATACGGGTCTGGAGAGATGGCTCAGTGGTTAAGAGCACTGGCTGCTCTTCCAGAGTTCAATTCCCAGCAACTACATGGTAGCTCACAACCATCTATAATGGGATCTGATGCCCTCTTCTGGTGAGTCTGAAGATAGCAACAGTGTACTCATATAAAATAAATCTTTTTAAAAATAAATAAATAAATAAATAAATACATTGTTGAAATCATAAACTCAGTCACTGTCCATGAGAAGTTTCCTACATACACTGTCGTATGAATCTGGTAACCCCCAATTTGGGGACATGGCACACAGTTAGGCCAGCCTATGGGTTTAGTGGTAGGCTGGGTTTGGATACAGGGCCAATCTGAACCCAGTGGTTAGCTGGTGACATGTGTGACCAGCTTCTCCCAGGATCCTTTTCCTCGACTCTAAAGTCTGTCACCAAACCCTGACACTATTGCTGATGCCAAGAAGCGCTTGCTGACAGGAGCCTGGTATAACTGTCTCCTGAGAGGCTCTGCCAGCACCTGACCAATACAGATGCAGATACTCACAGCCAACCATCTGACTGAGCACAGGGTCCCCAATGGAAGAGTTAGGGGAGGGACTGAAGGAGCTGAAGGGGATTGCAACCCCATAGGAAGAACAACAATATCAACTAACTGGACTCCCCAGAGCTCCCAGGGACTAAACCACCAACCAAAGAGTACACATAGAGGGACCCATGGCTCCAGCTACATATGTAGCAGAGGATTGCCTTATCTGGCATCAATGGGAGGGGAGGCCCTTGGTCTTGTGGAAGCTCTATACCCCAGCATAAGGGGATGCTAGAGTGGTGAGGTGGAAATGGGGGGGAGCACCCTCATAGAGGCAAAGGGGAGGGGAGATGTGATGGAGGGTTTGCAGAAGGGAAACTGGGAAGGAAGACATTTGAAATGTAAATAAAATAACCAATAAAAAATTTAAAAAAAATAAAGTGAGTCTGTTAAAAATCCCCAGGCTAAGAGGGCAGATTAACCAAGACAGTGTCCAGCCCATATCCAGAGCTATTGGTGGTTGCCTGCCAGGTCTATATCTCACTGCCTTCCATGAGGACCAGACTTCTATACATTAAATACTTATCCAGGACACTCTATTTTGAGTTCATTGTCCAGAATCTTTTCCAAAAGCTCATTAATTATCACAGATGGTCCTTTAAGTAAGCCTCATTTAAATTCGGAGGTTATAAGAATATTAACATCCCATAGAAATGAGTTGAATTGAGTAGAAGTTGGGTATGATGCTACAGACCTGTTGTCCCAGCTAAGACAAGAGGATCAAGGGTTAGAGGCCATGGGGCAAAGAAAGGATTCCAATGTTAAAGGCAGCTGCTGCTTCATTAGAGGACCTGGGTTTGGTTCTCAGAATCCACTCAGAGGCTCGTGATCCATTTCCAAAGGATCTGAAAGGTGTGGCTTCTACAGACAATGCATGTTCCTGATGTCCTTACATCTATGCAGACAAAACACTTGCACATATAAACTAAAAAATAAATCTAAAAAACTGATTAATGACTTATATAACATTAAAAAGTATATATTTTGGGCTGGAGAGATAGATGGCTCAGCAGTTAAAAGCACGCTCTTCCAGAGGATGCAGGTTCAATTCTCAGCACCTACATATAGTTCACAACTGTCTGTAACTCCAGTTCCAGGGGGACCCGATACCTGCACACAGACATACATGCAGGCAAAACACCAGTGCACATAAAATAAAAATAAATTATTTAAAAATATACATATCTTATTAATGAAGCTTCTTTTTTGCAGCAGGTAGAAATCATTCAGAAATTCACAAATGGTCAAAACACAGATAACAACTGACCAGTCCTAACTGATACAGCTACAATGTAGTCCTAACTGATACAGCTACA